CGCAATCCCTTCTCCTCCATTCTCCTCTCGGGATCTTGGGCACGCACGCACACGCGCCCGGCGTGAGATTTAAGCCACCGGGTCCGAGACGCGAACTACAGTCGACTACGTGGGAGTCCAGCGACATAGCCATTATGCTAACTGCTGGTTCCCCTCTTCGAATAACTTTTAATATTTCTGTTTCTCCCAGGACAAGGGACTTCCCATTTTCCCACTTTCTCTTTCCTTTTTTGTTTATTGAAAAGTACTTTAGCTTGGGACCAGCAGTTGGCGTAATGGCTATGTCGCTGGACTCCCACGTAGTCGACCGTGGTTTGAGTCCCGGACTGGGTGGCTTGAACTCACCCTGGGAGCGTGTGCGTGCGCGTGCGTGCCCAAGATCCCGAGAGGAGAATGGAGGAGAAGGGATTGCAGCGTGGCCATCCTCCCTGGGGGGTGATTTCTCACTTTCTGTCTCTCTGTCTCTCTCTGTCTGTCTAGCGAGTGCACGCGCCCTATAGCAAAAACCTCTCCAAAAAAAAAAAAAAAGAAAAAAAGTACTTTAGCTCAGGACTGTCCTCTTTCCAGCAGATAGGCAGGTACTGCTCCTTGTGGAGTCTTTTCATCAATCTTTTGCTTGGTGTTTCTCTTTTCATGCATCTTGATAGTCTTTTTCATTTGTATTTTCTCAGCATGGCGGTGCTTATGATAGAGCTTAGCCTTCAGACCAATCAACTTTTTTGCCTTCTTTGAACGTTCATGATCCTCTCAATTTTCCTTCTTTCTCTTTTTCTCATGGTAATTCAAACAGTATCCATAGCGTTTACGACGTAATTCAATATATTCATTTTGTGGCATGGTGCAGCCTCCCAGACATAAAGAAGTTGTCAACCTTCAGGTCTCAGAGACCTACAAGCAGACCCGACTCAGTCCAGAATGGGAAAGAATCACCATCTAAACTCCACGAACTTTTTGAAGTCCCTCATAGAGCAGCGTGACCCCAACCCATCCTGGCACAGTAGTTATGAATTGAGAATTTTTTTCCTCCTCTTCAATTAATAAATTATTATGCTATTTTGTTTTGTTTTGTTTTTACTATTGTGGGAAGAGACACATAATATAAAATTTACCATCCTAGTCATTTTCAAGTGTGCAGTTTGGTAGTGTTGAGCATATTCACGTTGTTGTGGAACTGATCTCCAGAACACTTTCATCTTGAAAAACAAGCTCTATATCATTATTCAATAACTCCCATTCCCCTTTCCCCAGCCCACAACCACTATGCTACTTTTCCTCTATAAATTTGACTACTTTAGGTACCTCACAGAAGTGGAATTACACAGTTGTTTCTGTAATTTTCACTTAGTATAATGTCCTCAAGTTTCATCTATATGGCATGTAACAGGATTTCCCTTATTTTTAAGAATGAATAGTATTTCATTGTATGGATGCATCACTTTTTTTACACATTTCCCAATCTTCCATTTACCCTCCCCTATCCCAGCTTCTGGTAACCACAGTTCTACTTTCTGCTTCTATGAGTTCAACTTTTTTAGATTCCACACATAAGTGAGACTATGCAGTACTTGTCTTTCCATGCCTGGCTTTTTTCACTTAATATCATAGCCTCCAGATTTACCCATGTTGTTGCAAACGGCAGAATGTTCTTCTTTTTAAAGGTTGAATAGTAATTTATTGTGTATATACCTCATTATCTTAATGCATTCATCCATTAATGGACACTTATGTTGCTTCCATATGTTGGTAATTCTAAGTAATGCTGCAAAGAACATGAGAGTGCAGACAGCTCTTCAATGTATTTATTTTATCCTTCAGCTATAGAGCCATCACCACATATTCTTTATCCATTCTTTCCTTGATGGGCTCTGCTATGCACTGTCTTAGAGAAGGGCATGGCACGATTTGTTGGGATTACAAACATTGAGTGGCATGTTGCCTTCTCTACCTTTTAAAATTAAACAAGAAGGTTGTGGAAGTGTTAAAATATAGACTTTTTAATTTTCCATTGAAACAGATTGGCGAAAGGATAAAAATCTTTGAAAAAGACAGGATCCAAATTTTAAGCCCTCCTCCCTAAGAGACAGGTCAGACTAGTTCTACTAAGAACCCACTATCAAGCTGTTCATAACTCACAGGGACTTCTGAATTCTGGATTGGAGCAGTTTACTTTCCCAGACTCCTCCTGGCATAGTCACACAACTTGCCTCTGCAGAACAGCGACTACAAATGTAACTCCTGAATTAAGCAGCCTTGACTAATTAGGCTTTAAGGAAGGCACTCGGTCCGATGACCTCTTTGAATGCTTGATTATGACAGAGACTTCATGCAAAGACTCAGAACAGTAGAGGCTCATAAAGTATATGGGTTTAGTTTAGATTATTACATCAAAGGCACTGGAGACTTAAGATATATACAGGCTTTCTTTGGACCACCACCTGCCACCCAATTCCTCCCATTACAGATGGGAAAATGAAAGCTGTCAGCATAGTTCAGTTGTTTCACTTAAATCCAGAGGAAAATACACATAGAAACTCAAAAATGTTTGCTCAAACTTCAACTCAAATTTTTTAGCATTGTCTAGTCATTTTTATCTAGTCATTAGCTACTTAAAAGATGCTGTTGAAACTACATACTGTCATTACCATCCATTATTCAGAGTATCTTTGAGAGGACCATGAAGAATTTTCACTCAACAACTTTATTTCTAATTATATTTCTGCCTCTTGGTCACACAGATCTTGCTGGGTCAAAAATACAACCATTCTGTTGACTGGTGGTCCTTTGGCGTCCTCCTTTATGAAATGTTAATTGGTCAGTCACCTTTTCATGGGCAAGATGAAGAAGAGCTCTTTCACTCCATCCGCATGGACAATCCCTTTTACCCACGGTGGCTCGAAAAGGAGGCTAAGGACCTGTTAGTGAAGGTAAGAAAAGGAGTAAAGAAGACTTTCACATGGTCAGTATTTGGTTTTCTGATTAATATGCCCATTGACTTCTAGCTTCTTATTTATACATGAAGAATAAATAATTATTGTATTGAACTGGATTTAACACACTATTCATTTTAACTGAGGCACCAATATGAACATTATAAATAAAAATAAATAAGAGATACACACTCACATGCATTATCCACAAAGCAAATGCCCAGAAACAAGCTCCGTGACTCTCAAGTGCCCACAATTTGAGATGTAATTGATCTATGTACAAGAAGGCTTGAAATTCAACCTATTGCTTCTTATCATCCCTACTAAATATGCGCAATCCAGTTCATCATCTTCTGCCCCTGGCTGAAAACTTAAACATGATGAATGATTATTCTGCTCACTCTTAGGTAAAAGACAAACCTATCATCATTATTAAGTCAAGAAACAGTTTCAGATGAGAAATTAAAACTGTCCAGTCCAGGACATTAGTCACCACATCAATCCTAATTTAAAAACTGTACTGTTCCCTTACTCAGCGTTCGTGGTTGGCAGCTGCTCAGCTTTGGAAAAGGACACATAGTCATGTTGTGGTTGATAGTATTTATGTCTTTTCCTGTATGACTCTGAGTTTCTGCTTCTGACCATAAGAGGTTGAAGCAGAGAGAAGATGGAGGGGGAAGGAAAAAGTTCTGTTCTTACATTACTGGGTGTCTTCACACTCCTTGAACCAGGCACATGGTTAAAGGTGATATTTTTGTGAGTCACTTTAGTTGGTCCTTTGGATCAATCTAAGTAGATTGTACATGTCCAGGAATTCATCCATCTCCTCTAAATTTTCTAACTTGTTGATATATGGTTGCTGATAATAGTCCTTATTAATCTTTCATATTTTTATGATATCATTGTAATATTGCCTTTTTCATATTTTATTTACTTGGATTTTTTTCTCTTTTTTTAAAATTAGTCTAGTGACTAGTTTATCAGTTTTGTTAATTCATTCAAAAAACCAACTTTTCATTTTGTTGATCTTTTGTATGTCTTTTGGTCTCTATTTCATTTGAGCTCTGAGCTTTATTATTTCTTTCCTTCTACTACCTTTGGGTTTAGCTTGTTCTTACTTTTTCATGTCCTTAAGATACATCATTTGGTTATGTGTCATCTTTCTATTTTTTTTATATAAATTTCTCTCTTAATTCTGCTTTTGTTGTGTTTTATAGGTTTTAGTATGTCATGTTTCATTTTCATTTGTTTGGAGAAATTTTTAAATTTCTTTTCAAATTTCTTCATTGACCTCATAGTCATTCAGTAGTATATTGTTTATTTTCCATGTATTCATGTATTTTCCATAGTTCTTGTTGTTGATTTCTAGTTTTATTCCCTAAAATAAAGAATTTTGGTATGATTTCTACTATTTTTAATTTACTGAGAGTTGTTTTGTGTCCTATTATATGACCAATCCTATAAAATGTTCCACTTGCTATTGAGAAGAAAGTGTATTCTGTGGCTACTGGGTAAAATGTTCTACAAATTTCTCTCAGGTCCATTTGGTCTATGGTGTTATTTAACCCCAATAAACAGAATGTCTTTATCCCTCCCTTCACTCTCATTCTACATATGTATTTACAGATGAGATGAGTTTCTTGTAGGCAGTACATGGAGGGTTCCTGTAATTTAAAAAATCCATTCAGGCAGTCTATATCTTTAGATTGGGGAGTTTATTTATATCCAAAGTTGTTACCGAGATGTACAGACTTACAGCTGTCATTTTCCTGATTATATTGTGTTTCCTTTTTTTCATTTCCTCTTCTGTTATCATTTATGTTGACTGGTAGTTTTCCTTAATAGTAGGGTTTGAATATTTTCTCTTTCTTATTTGTGTGATCTCTCTACTGGTGAATTTATACTTTTGCATGATTGTATGATGATATTTATTTATTTTCACTTTCAGATATAGACCCTCTTAAGAATTTCCTGAAGAATTATCTTCAATTTTGTCATTGAAAACATTTGTTTCTCCTTCCATTTTGAAAGATAGCTTTGCCAGGTATAAATTCTTAGATGGAAGTGGGGTTTTTGGTTTGTATCTTTCTTTCAAGATTTTGAATTTATCATCCCATTCCTTCCTGGCTTGTAAGGTATCTGCTTAGAAGTCTGCTATTAGTCTGATGGGGGCTCCTTTATATGTGACTAGATGCTTTTCTCTTGCCATTTTTAGGGTTTTTTTCTTTGACTTGTGACAATTCTATTATAACGTACCTTGGGGAAGATCTTTTTATGTTGCATCTATTTGACATCCTTTGAATTTCAGAATCTAGACATCTGTATGTCTCTCTATACTTGGGAAGTTTTTAGTTCATGTTGTATGAATTTTCTATACTTTTTCCTCTCTTGACTCCTTCTGGAATTCCCATTATGTGAATGTTTATTTAATTGCTTAATATCCCACAGGTCATGAAGGTTTTCTTCATTTTTCAGATTTTTTTCTTTCCTTTTGTTTGACTGGGTTATTTCAAAAGTCCTATCTTCAAGTTCACAGATTGTTCTGCTTGATCTAGCCAACTGTTGATGTTCTCTACTGAATATTTTATTTCATGTATTAAATTCTTCATCTCCAGGATTGTTACTTGATTCTTTAAAAATGCTCCTTTATTCAATTTCTCATTCATATCATGGATTTTTTTTATTATATTTCAGTTTTATCCTGAAATTGCTTGTCAGTACATTTTTGGCTAAAGCCCCTGAAATACAGGCTACTTAACCTATTTCCTTCCCTAGGTACTATACCAAAACTAATTTATCAACTGTCTTTCCCAGTGTTTGTTTGCCCAGCAGCAAGCCATACTTATTGTCTGCTGGAAATATTGATGCATCCATTATCGTAACAAACTCTGAGAATACATGCTATTACCATTTGATCAGCAATCTCCAGAATTCACCATAAAAGTAGAAGTCCATGATAGCCAAGGATCTACCAAACATTCATGCACAATGCTGCAGATTCTCTGGGCTCTGAGAATCACAAGCTGTGAATCAGAGGCTCCCAAGACAAACCAGCACAGAGGCATAAGAACACCTGAGACATTAAAAATGTACCCTTTAAGCAAGTCCCAGTTTACCTGTTTTAAAGATTCAAAACACTACCCACAGTGTATGAGTGCAGCAAGTTATAAAATAAAAATGAATCGTTCCAATACAGCATGCTAACTACATATAAGAATAACAAGAATCTACATTTACTGAACTCTCCGTGCAAATACTTGCATCAAAGAGATCCACCAATATGATCAAGAGGCTAGCAGATATTTCACAAGTGAACCAAGAATACAGGTGTAGTGGGCATATTTAATATCTGGGATCTCAATATCTCAGCTGGTTTTAAAAAAGATCATCACTGAGAGAAATCATTTTTAACCTTGCTCTTGCTATATTGAAAATGGAAATGAGGATAAGATCCTTAGCCTTAGAAACTAACAGATTTTAAATCAAAACTTAGAAAAGTATTACCAGGCTCATCTTTTGTCAGTAGTCTACATTTTTTTCTCTTGAAAAACTACTAGGAATTACATTTAAAGGGCATATACTCACACCTGTCTAATACAAGTGACAGTTTATCTAGAGCATTGGAAATTTTGAGGCAATTCCAAAGCTCTCCCTAAGGAATCACAGTCTTTAATCTGAGCAGTGCTGACAAAGCCCTCACAGGATACTCAGCCCAAGGTTAATGGAAGTAGGTATTTAAAAATCCAAGCCAGTTTTGCTTTCTGACTGTGATCCAAACAAGCAATAAACAGAAAACTCCCTGAACGACCAATTAAATTCACTTTTAATGACTGAATAAGACATGTATAAAGTGAAAGCTAATTTCAAAATTAACCAATTTGAAAAAGAAAGATGACAACAGTAAAAATAAGTTAGTGGGACTTGAATTTATGCTTTTTTACTTTACCAAAAGGGAATTTCAAACATTATTACAATTGCTAAATAATTTTTTATTTGGCTCGATGAAAGACTTAATGTGAAGTGTATTAGTCAGCCCAGGTTACTGAAACAGGGTAATCCTATTTGTGTGGCTTAACCAACAGATGTTTATTCTTCACAGTTATGCAGGCTCAAAGTCCAAGAACAAAGTCTAGCTGGGTCAATTCCTGGTGAGAGTTTTCTTGCTTGCCTGTAGACGGCCATTTTCTTGCTGTAACCTCACACAGTGGGGAGAGAGAGAATGAGAGACAGAGAGTGGGAATGAGAAAGCTCTGGTGTCTCTTGTAAAAACACTAATCCTATTCCAATAAGGGCACCATTCTTATGACCTTGTTTAATCTTGGTATGTCCCTAAAGGCCCTATGTACAGTCATATCAGGGATTAAAGCTCAAATATGTGAAATTTAATGGAAAACAATGAATTCTATAGCATGAGGGCTACACTGAAAAGTCTGATCCAACAAAGTCCACTTTAAAGAAAAAAATTAAAAGACTTGGTCTGTAGTCACCTTTAGTCCAAAGTCTGTCTACATATGAGTCACAGACTCAAGGCCCTGGAGCTATAATTGCAATCCCCAATACCTGCTGATGCCCCTTTTGTTTTCATTAATCATCATCCTTCTGTTCCACCCCTTTCCCCCATTCTTCCTGGCTTCTAGTAACTATTCTTCATCTCTACTTCTACAAGGTCTTTTCTTTAAGTAATATGTGAGGAAGAACATGTGATATTTATCGTTCTGTGTCTGACTTACTTTACTTGACATATGTCACCCAAGTTCATTTATTAGTCCTCACAGGACAAGATTTCATCCTTTTTAATAGCTGGATAATATTTCATTGTGTATAAACACCACATTTTAATCCGTTTTGTTTGTTGGTGAACATTTAGGTTGATTCCATATCTTGGCTAGTATCAATAGTGCTGCAATAAACTTTGACGTGCAGATATCTTGACAACATACTAATTTGCTATCCTTTAGATAAGTCTGATAGTTGGATCACTGAGTCATATGACGGTT